ACTGGTTTCGTTCGAATGTTATATTCTCAATAACCCTTGTGTTACTTGTTCCCATTTATTGTGTTCCCGTTGTTATTATCTCCCCTATTTTTGTCAATAAAGTCATAAATCGTACACTCGTATCTGTCTTTGCTACATCAACCGTTTTGGCCGTCTTACATTAGAATCATACTTTTATCACACATTCAAAGTGTGCACACATGTGATCACACAATTATTTTTGCATGGGTGACAGTTTTTCATTCTCATTCTCATACATGCACATTAATTTCCATGATTTCCCATGTGGTGATTTCCCAATCTCACATCAATAACAGAAACTCAATACATTACTATATCTAATAGGTGATTTTAAACTCAATTAACCCAGCCACTTTTGCATTGTTTGGCTTGCCTTACATTGAAGATCAGAGAATGAATCCCTCTCCAGAGTCTTCTGTTGTCCAGCATGACAGACAATTGCAGTAGATGTACATGAACAGCCCCATGTTAGCACATTATTAGACTGATAAAGCAAAACCTTAATTATACTCAACAGCAAGTTAGAGTAGTTTGTTTCACCAACCAATTGAGTGTAGTGTGCATTAAGATTTGTCTCACCTCAGTAGATGTCAACTCATTTCTGTCCCGTACACAAGTCATCTTGGATGATCCATTGCTGAATATAAAAGGAAAAAACAAATTGTGAAACAAATCTTGAGGGGACAGGGGAGGGGCTGATCCCCTTATTTGGGATTAGCAGGAATGTGTCATTGAATACTCAATGGTTTTCAGGGTTGTCTACCTTAAGTTCATGTAATGGTTTGGCTAAGAACTTAAGGCAAAAAAGCAATGGCTGGTTTGCTGTATCACACCATCAAAAATGAAAATCATAACCACACACAATAAATTAAGTGAAGAGGCTGGGATATGAAAGATGATTGATATATAAACAACCTCGCCAAGATTTTGGACTGTGCAGTTTTTCATTTGCACATTATTCGGAAAAGTACTTCACTCAAATTTATAGAGCTTTGTATGGAGTCGCCATGTTTGTGCCCCTCAGAGGGACACAAACGTGGTGGCCATAAAGTAACAGAAACATCTGTCATTGAGTTTTGCCATTGAAACAAAAAGTTACTACTCTAGAGCTTAAATTAATATTTCTTCTAGGGCAAGAACTGTTTAATTAGCAAAAATGCGAGCAATAACTCATATTTTGACCTACTCAAGAGCCTCCATTTTTATGGAGGTTTATAAACCTGCGAGCCAGTGAGCCATTCGAGCCAAAGGGCGAGCCAAAGGGCGAGCCATGCGAGCCATGCGAGTCATGCGAGTCATGCGAGCCCTAGTACAAATGTTAAGATTTTTTATTTGTTACATTTATATTCACATGAGAACAAGAACAAGAGCAACGGAACAAGATGAATAAGATCGCAATATTAAATTCTTG